AAAACAACAATAATAAATAAAATACAAGTTAAGAAAAATAGTAACTGAGTGTGTGACGGAGGATCATAATGAACTGAGTGTGTGTGTGTGTGACGGAGGATCATAATGAACTGAGTGTGTGACGGAGGATCATAATGAACTGAGTGTGTGACGGAGGATCATAATGAACTGAGTGTGTGACGGAGGATCATAATGAACTGAGTGAGTGACGGAGGATCATAATGAACTGAGTGTGTGACGGAGGATCATAATGAACTGAGTGTGTGTGTGTGTGTGACGGAGGATCATAATGAACTGAGTGTGTGACGGAGGATCATAATGAACTGAGTGAGTGACGGAGGATCATAATGAACTGAGTGTGTGACGGAGGATCATAATGAACTGAGTGTGTGACGGAGGATCATAATGAACTGAGTGAGTGACGGAGGATCATAATGAACTGAGTGTGTGACGGAGGATCATAATGAACTGAGTGTGTGATGGAGGATCATAATGAACTGAGTGTGTGACGGAGGATCATAATGAACTGAGTGTGTGATGGAGGATCATAATGAACTGAGTGTGTGTGTCTGCTGTGACGGAGGCAGGCTGAAGGTGGAGCAGCCTCAGGACGTGGTCACCGGGAACCCCACCGTCATCAAGATGCTGGTGAACTTCTACCGTTCGGCCCGTGGGCAAAGCGCCCTGAAGGAGACTCTGGGCCCCGCGCTGCACGACCTGCTGCAGGAGCCGGCCCCCAGCATCAGGACCGACCCTGTGGACGTCTATAAGACCTGGATCAATCAGACGGAGAGCAACACGGGGACCAGGAGGTGGAGATAACACACACACTCACACACACACTTACTCACTACCACAGGTGCAGTAACCCTCTTTTGTTGCAGCTCTCTGCCGTACGAGGTCTCTGCTGCCGACGCTCTGCTCCACCCGGAGGTTCAGAGACGCATCGACATCGCCATCATCAACTTAAAGAACCTGACGGAGCGCGTGTTCAAGGCCATCACCTCCAACCTGCACAAACTACCGTAAGTCTGTCCTCCAACCGCTGCAGTTGTGTACCTTGTCTTGTACTGTGTTGCAGGTATGGTCTGTGTGTGTACTAGTAGTGTGTGTGTGTAATGTGTGTGTGTGTGTGTTGCAGGTATGGTCTGTGTGTGTAATGTGTGTAATGTGTGTGTGTGTTGCAGGTATGGTCTGTGTGTGTAATGTGTGTAATGTGTGTGTGTGTTGCAGGTATGGTCTGTGTGTGTAATGTGTGTGTGTGTGTTGCAGGTATGGTTTGCGCTACACAGCGAAGGTTCTGAGAGACTCTCTGCAGGAGAAGTTTCCTGAAGCCAGCGAGGACGAGCTGTACAAGGTGAGCTCCAGGAGTTAGACTGAGCCATGAGAGCAGAATCCAGAGTATAGACTGGTCCTGAGGAGGAATTGTGTTGCTCCTCTCCAGGAGTTAGACTGAGCCATGAAAGCAGAATCCAGAGTATAGACTGGTCCTGAGGAGGAAGTGTGTTGCTCCTCTCCAAGAGTTAGACTGAGCCATGAAAGCAGAATCCAGAGTATAGACTGGTCCTGAGGAGGAAGTGTGTTGCTCCTCTCCAGGAGTTAGACTGAGCCATGAGAGCAGAATCCAGAATATAGACTGGTCCTGAGGAGGAAGTGTGTTGCTCCTCTCCAGGAGTTAGACTGAGCCATGAGAGCAGAATCCAGAATATAGACTGGTCCTGAGGAGGAAGTGTGTTGCTCCTCTCCAGGAGTTAGACTGAGCCATGAGAGCAGAATCCAGAATATAGACCGGTCCTGAGGAGGAAGTGTGTTGCTCTGATATAACATCAGGACTCAAACCACCAGACTCAGGGACAGTTTCATCCCATCAGACTATTAAACACCTGAACTTTTGAAACAACATCCATCTGGCTGCAACTTACAAATTATTTATGTAATATATCATATTCCAATTACTTGTATAGTGTCCTATCAACCTACCATATATAGGCATTTAGCCATGCACGTGATACTGACGCACCTTTCATAACAAATAAGTGAGCCTTAAATTAATATATTTTAAACTATAGTGTGACTCACAAAAATACCTGATTAGTTAAGAGTTTAATCTACTTTATATTATTAAGCCTAACATTCAGACAATAATATCAAAATGAAAATGGCTCTAACACTCTCCTTGCACTATTTGAACTGATCTGTTGTATTGTGTTTCTCTGTGGGAGGAGCCTGTGACCTCAGATGGTCATTAACATATCTTCACTGTAGCTGATGTGCACAGGACAAGCCTTCATACACACCTCCACCCCTCAAAGACTGCAACCACTACTATTTAGAAATATGTATGGCTATTTGACCTGCATCCTTTGGTTAGGGTTGCATTTAGCGTTTTTAGACTGGAAGTGTAAATATGCACATTGACTTTCATCGCTCTGCTTTACCACTCTTATTTATTTATTGTTTTATTTTTTACTGCAGTGAGAGTTGCCAAAGAAATGTCGTTGTACTTTGTATGATGACAATACAGATATATTCTGTTCTGAATCTTGCCTCCTCCTCGTCAGATCGTGGGGAACCTGGTCTACTATCGATACATGAACCCAGCCATCGTGGCTCCGGACGGCTTCGAGGTGTTGCAGCGCAGCGCAGGGAGCAGCCTGCAGCCCGAACAGCGCCACCTGCTGGGCTGCATCGCCCGCATGCTGCAGCACGCCGCCGCCAACAAGCTGTTCCCCGGGGAGGGAGACCACCTGCAGACCCTGAACCGGTTCATCAGCCAGACCCACCTCAAGTTCAGGTGGGGGGCCGTCACACTGGTAGAGAGATCTTTAGTTTCCTCACGTTCAGGTGGGGGGCCGTCACACTGGTAGAGAGATCTTTAGTCTCCTCAAGTTCAGGTGGGGGGCCGTCACACTGGTAGAGAGATCTTTAGTCTCCTCAAGTTCAGGTGGGGGGCCGTCACACTGGTAGAGAGACCTTTAGTTTCCTCACGTTCAGGTGGGGGGCCGTCACACTGGTAGAGAGATCTTTAGTTTCCTCACGTTCAGGTGGGGGGGCCGTCACACTGGTAGAGAGATCTTTAGTCTCCTCACGTTCAGGTGGGGGGCCGTCACACTGGTAGAGAGATCTTTAGTTTCCTCACGTTCAGGTGGGGGGCCGTCACACTGGTAGAGAGATCTTTAGTTTCCTCACGTTCAGGTGGGGGGCCGTCACACTGGTAGAGAGATCTTTAGTCTCCTCACGTTCAGGTGGGGGGCCGTCACACTGGTAGAGAGATCTTTAGTCTCCTCACGTTCAGGTGGGGGGCCGTCACACTGGTAGAGAGATCTTTAGTCTCCTCACGTTCAGGTGGGGGGCCGTCACACTGGTAGAGAGACCTTTAGTCTCCTCACGTTCAGGTGGGGGGCCGTCACACTGGTAGAGAGACCTTTAGTCTCCTCACGTTCAGGTGGGGGGCCGTCACACTGGTAGAGAGATCTTTAGTCTCCTCACGTTCAGGTGGGGGGGCCGTCACACTGGTAGAGAGATCTTTAGTCTCCTCACGTTCAGGTGGGGGGCCGTCACACTGGTAGAGAGATCTTTAGTCTCCTCACGTTCAGGTGGGGGGCCGTCACACTGGTGGAGAGACCTTTAGTCTCCTCACGTTCAGGTGGGGGGCCGTCACACTGGTAGAGAGACCTTTAGTCTCCTCACGTTCAGGTGGGGGGCCGTAGCACTGGTAGAGAGATCTTTAGTTTCCTCACGTTCAGGTGGGGGGCCGTCACACTGGTAGAGAGACCTTTAGTTTCCTCACGTTCAGGTGGGGGGCCGTCACACTGGTAGAGAGATCTTTAGTCTCCTCACGTTCAGGTGGGGGGCCGTCACACTGGTGGAGAGACCTTTAGTCTCCTCACGTTCAGGTGGGGGGCCGTCACACTGGTAGAGAGACCTTTAGTTTCCTCACGTTCAGGTGGGGGGCCGTCACACTGGTAGAGAGATCTTTAGTCTCCTCACGTTCAGGTGGGGGGGGCCGTCACACTGGTAGAGAGATCTTTAGTCTCCTCACGTTCAGGTGGGGGGCCGTCACACTGGTAGAGAGATCTTTAGTCTCCTCACGTTCAGGTGGGGGGCCGTCACACTGGTAGAGAGATCTTTAGTCTCCTCACGTTCAGGTGGGGGGCCGTCACACTGGTAGAGAGATCTTTAGTCTCCTCACGTTCAGGTGGGGGGCCGTCACACTGGTAGAGAGATCTTTAGTCTCCTCACGTTCAGGTGGGGGGCCGTCACACTGGTAGAGAGATCTTTAGTCTCCTCACGTTCAGGTGGGGGGCCGTCACACTGGTAGAGAGACCTTTAGTTTCCTCACGTTCAGGTGGGGGGCCGTCACACTGGTAGAGAGACCTTTAGTCTCCTCACGTTCAGGTGGGGGGCCGTCACACTGGTAGAGAGACCTTTAGTCTCCTCACGTTCAGGTGGGGGGCCGTCACACTGGTAGAGAGACCTTTAGTTTCCTCAAGTTCAGGTGGGGGGCCGTCACACTGGTAGAGAGATCTTTAGTCTCCTCACGTTCAGGTGGGGGGCCGTCACACTGGTAGAGAGATCTTTAGTCTCCTCACGTTCAGGTGGGGGGGCCGTCACACTGGTAGAGAGATCTTTAGTCTCCTCACGTTCAGGTGGGGGGCCGTCACACTGGTAGAGAGACCTTTAGTCTCCTCACGTTCAGGTGGGGGGCCGTCACACTGGTAGAGAGATCTTTAGTCTCCTCACGTTCAGGTGGGGGGCCGTCACACTGGTAGAGAGATCTTTAGTCTCCTCACGTTCAGGTGGGGGGCCGTCACACTGGTAGAGAGATCTTTAGTCTCCTCACGTTCAGGTGGGGGGCCGTCACACTGGTAGAGAGACCTTTAGTCTCCTCACGTTCAGGTGGGGGGCCGTCACACTGGTAGAGAGATCTTTAGTTTCCTCACGTTCAGGTGGGGGGCCGTCACACTGGTAGAGAGACCTTTAGTCTCCTCACGTTCAGGTGGGGGGCCGTCACACTGGTAGAGAGATCTTTAGTCTCCTCACGTTCAGGTGGGGGGCCGTCACACTGGTAGAGAGATCTTTAGTTTCCTCACGTTCAGGTGGGGGGCCGTCACACTGGTAGAGAGACCTTTAGTCTCCTCACGTTCAGGTGGGGGGCCGTCACACTGGTAGAGAGACCTTTAGTCTCCTCACGTTCAGGTGGGGGGCCGTCACACTGGTAGAGAGACCTTTAGTCTCCTCACGTTCAGGTGGGGGGCCGTCACACTGGTAGAGAGACCTTTAGTCTCCTCACGTTCAGGTGGGGGGCCGTCACACTGGTAGAGAGGTGGGGGGCCGTCACACTGGTAGAGAGATCTTTAGTCTCCTCACGTTCAGGTGGGGGGGCCGTCACACTGGTAGAGAGACCTTTAGTCTCCTCACGTTCAGGTGGGGGGCCGTCACACTGGTAGAGAGATCTTTAGTCTCCTCACGTTCAGGTGGGGGGCCGTCACACTGGTAGAGAGATCTTTAGTCTCCTCACGTTCAGGTGGGGGGCCGTCACACTGGTAGAGAGATCTTTAGTCTCCTCACGTTCAGGTGGGGGGCCGTCACACTGGTAGAGAGATCTTTAGTCTCCTCACGTTCAGGTGGGGGGGCCGTCACACTGGTAGAGAGATCTTTAGTCTCCTCACGTTCAGGTGGGGGGCCGTCACACTGGTAGAGAGATCTTTAGTCTCCTCACGTTCAGGTGGGGGGCCGTCACACTGGTAGAGAGATCTTTAGTCTCCTCACGTTCAGGTGGGGGGCCGTCACACTGGTAGAGAGATCTTTAGTCTCCTCACGTTCAGGTGGGGGGCCGTCACACTGGTAGAGAGATCTTTAGTCTCCTCACGTTCAGGTGGGGGGCCGTCACACTGGTAGAGAGGTGGGGGGCCGTCACACTGGTAGAGAGATCTTTAGTCTCCTCACGTTCAGGTGGGGGGCCGTCACACTGGTAGAGAGATCTTTAGTCTCCTCACGTTCAGGTGGGGGGCCGTCACACTGGTAGAGAGATCTTTAGTCTCCTCACGTTCAGGTGGGGGGCCGTCACACTGGTAGAGAGACCTTTAGTCTCCTCACGTTCAGGTGGGGGGCCGTCACACTGGTAGAGAGATCTTTAGTCTCCTCACGTTCAGGTGGGGGGCCGTCACACTGGTAGAGAGACCTTTAGTCTCCTCACGTTCAGGTGGGGGGCCGTCACACTGGTAGAGAGATCTTTAGTCTCCTCACGTTCAGGTGGGGGGCCGTCACACTGGTAGAGAGACCTTTAGTCTCCTCACGTTCAGGTGGGGGGCCGTCACACTGGTAGAGAGATCTTTAGTCTCCTCACGTTCAGGTGGGGGGCCGTCACACTGGTAGAGAGATCTTTAGTCTCCTCACGTTCAGGTGGGGGGCCGTCACACTGGTAGAGAGATCTTTTAAGGCGGCATTTTGACACTCAATGTTCACCAGTTACAAGATTTCTTAAAAACTGAATAAAATACTAATACATTCAGAGAGTAATCGTGTACAGGGTTAGGGTACACAACATCTCACTGTGTGTGTGTGTGTGTGTGTGTGTGTGTGTGTGTGTGTGTGTGTGTGTGTGTGTGTGTGTGTGTGTGTGTGTGTGTGTGTGTGTGTGTGTGTGTGTGTGTGTGTGTGTGTGTGTGTGTGTGTGTGTGTGTGTGTGTGTGTGTGTGTGTGTGTGTGTGTGTGTGTGTGTGTGTGTGTGTGTGTGTGTGTGTGTGTGTGTGTGTGTGTGTGTTACAGGAAGTTTCTGCATGGTGTGTGTGACGTCCCTGAACCCGAGGACAGGTTCAACATGGATGAGTTCTCTGAGCTGCTCATCGTCAACAAACCCGTTGTTTACATCTCCGTCAGCGAGTTGCGCAACACACACCAGGTACACACACACACACACACACACACACACACCAGGGTTCCCGCGGGGTCTTAAAAAGTCTTAAATTTGATAATCTGAATTTAAGGCCTTAAAAAAGTCTTAAATATGACCAAAAAAATAAGAAAGGTCTTAAATATGATTTAGAAGGTCTTCAAAATGAAGGGATTTGAAAGATACTTCTGTGTTGCGATAGCGTCTAAATGTGTTTTGGGGGAAATGTGCGGGCTGCAAAGTAACCAGTACGGTGAGAGCCTTTCAGTTCCCCCCAATAATCTGTATTGAAATAAATCAACATGGAACCAGTCATCACTAACTTTGTTTCCCCCGGCCCCTTATGGGAGAACACCCAGCTAGTAACCTAGCAACCAAGCTTCAGCTAGCGGCAGTCAGAAACTCATGTCTCTACAAATCTACTTACAAATAAATATGGGGAAGTTCAACCGTTATTGGTTGGAAAACATTGAATTTAGTGCTTGGTTGAAACCAGTGGAGGGAACGTGTTTGAAGCCCGCTGCACCTTTTGCAAAATAAGTTAGCGTTTGTTTTTGCTAATGTAGCATTAGCTAGTGCAGCGTTAGCTAATGTAGCGTTAGCTAGTGTAGCGTTAGCTAGTGCAGCGTTAGCTAGTGCAGCAGCTCCCGCAACAACACCGGGGGACCTCCGGGCGACGTTTGGGTCTACGTCAACCCTAAAAGCGGAGGTGCTGTAGACGCTAAATACCGTAGCTAAACACCAATCATACAACAGCAACGATGAAAGATTGTAGCCAAGGCAACAGAGCTCTGAATATAGCTCTTGTTACTCTCTCACACACACACACCAGGTACACACACATACACACACACCAGAGGCCTGTACGACGAAGCCGGTTCAACCTAACCTGGATATGTTTGAGTTAGCTGGTTGGCCTAATCCAAAACAAACGCGCTCTCGCTAGGCGGTCCTACGACGCTGGTTATCAAGTGGATCGCTCAAGCCAGCCGTGTCCTATCTACAGATGTAGCAGCTAATTTAGGACAGTTTGAAACGCGAGGGTCGTGGTCGGCCCGTGAACGGCCCGTGATTTGCCCGTGATCAAGAGACTGCCTCCAGTCTGACTTGAGACCGCCCCCGTGATAAATAAATGTAATTATTGTGAAGCCAGCTGCAATGGATCATTGATCCACCAGGGGGTGCAGTGGGGTTCCACACTGGAGCTCATGTGAAATCAACTTCGATACAGTAAGCTGGATGTACAGTATGTCTGGTACTAATGTATAGCGGATCTTTGTTAAGATCCATATGTCATGGATAGGATCATAGTCTGTGCTAAATAAGACATGTAATCATTTACAAAACATCACCATGTTGTTATTTAACAAAATAATGTTGTTTAGTCGAAAAAAACGAACGAGAGGAAATGCAGCCGGCTCTCGATTTTTAATCCTAATTTAATCATCATCTTCACCACGATCATTTATGTTTATGTCGCCGAATTGACATGAAATCACTGACAAATATGAATATTCTGTATTCAACTTCATTAAAACGTTATTAACGTGCCTAAACTCAGTAATTCACTAAAAATATTTATATTTTAATGGAGCCTTGTCAGGCAGATCAAGATCCGCGTAGCGGAGGGATCTTGATCCCTGGGTGTTATTTTTCCCCACAATGACCAAGTCGCTGCAAATTATCCCGTTTATTACATGGCCACATTCTCAACAAAGTAACGACATGACTCCCAATATTAATTTAAATGCTTTTATGGATTTAGAAAATGTTTTTATTGATTTAAAAAATAGTTGTATGTATTGATTTAAATTGACATGCATCCGCTAAGAAAAATAGTCCGTTGTTACCGTTTTTTAAACAGTCAGAATGCTATGTGTTTACACACCTATTGGCCCATCAGCCACAGCTCTCTCCCCCCCAGCGTCGTAGGACCGGAAACCCAGAGTTCTCCCTTAAATTAGCTCGCTAAGCGAAAATCCGGCTTCGTTGTACAGGCCTCAGGTACACACACACACACACACACACACACACACACACACACACACACACACACACACACACACACACACACACACACACACACACACCAGGTAAACACATACACAACAGCTACACTGACTCTAAGACATTGCATCACTTCCTGCTTCCCTTTCACAATAAAAGCACAGATGTTGTGTGTGTGTTGCAGCTGTTGTTGGAGCACCAGGAGGTTTTGTCTCCCGACCCCTCTGACCCCCTCAGGCAGCTGCTGAAGGACCTGGGATCAGTGCCAGGCCTACAGGAGCTCAGCGGTACTACACTAATACTAACAATACTGCAATAAATACTACAGCTAATACTACTACTAACCCCACGAACACTGCATCGTGTGTAACATCATTTGATGAATAATAATCAATGTGTTCCTCAGGCGATGCGTCAGCTGACTCTGAAGTTTCTTTGACGCTCACCAACAAGTTCGACATTTTCAACGAGTCCAACGACCAACCAGACACCAGAGGCCTGCTGCTCAGGTAGCTTAGCATGTTAGCTTTAGCTGCTCAGGTAGCTTAGCATGTTAGCTTTAGCTGCTCAGGTAGCTTAGCATGTTAGCTTTAGCTGCTCTGGTAGCTTAGCATGTTAGCTTTAGCTGCTCAGGTAGCTTAGCATGTTAGCTTTAGCTGCTCAGGTAGCTTAGCATGTTAGCTTTAGCTGCTCAGGTAGCTTAGCATGTTAGCTTTAGCTGCTCAGGTAGCTTAGCATGTTAGCTTTAGCTGCTCAGGTAGCTTAGCATGTTAGCTTTAGCTGCTCAGGTAGCTTAGCATGTTAGCTTTAGCTGCTCTGGTAGCTTAGCATGTTAGCTTTAGCTGCTCAGGTAGCTTAGCATGTTAGCTTTAGCTGCTCTGGTAGCTTAGCATGTTAGCTTTAGCTGCTCAGGTAGCTTAGCATGTTAGCTTTAGCTGCTCAGGTAGCTTAGCATGTTAGCTTTAGCTGCTCAGGTAGCTTAGCATGTTAGCTTTAGCTGCTCAGGTAGCTTAGCATGTTAGCTTTAGCTGCTCAGGTAGCTTAGCATGTTAGCTTTAGCTGCTCAGGTAGCTTAGCATGTTAGCTTTAGCTGCTCTGGTAGCTTAGCATGTTAGCTTCACCCTCTCACTAATCACATTTTATTTTGAATGTCAGCACGAAACAGCTGATCATTGATGTCATCAGGACGCAGCCGGGCGACTCGCTGAGAGAAATCCTGAGAGGGGGCGTGTCACAGGACCAGGTACACACACACACACACACGCACACACTTACTCACACACACACTCGCACTCAGACACACACACTCACTCACTCACACACTCACACACACACACACGCACACACTTACTCTCACACATACATACACTCGCACTCACACACACACACACACACACATACACTCACACACTCACACACACACACACACAGCAACACACACTCACACACCGTTGGCCATCGGGAGCAACTCAGTCGTGTTATTGTTTTATGTCTTATATATATTTATGTAGCATTGTTGGAGGAGACTTCAGATTGTGTACACACACAGAAACACACACAGAAACACACACAGAAACACACACAGAAACACACACACACAGAAACACACACACACAGAAACACACACAACACACAGAAACACACACACACAGAAACACACACACACACAGAAACACACACAGAAACACACACACACAGAAACACACACAGCAACACACTCACACAGCAACACACACACAGAGCCACACACACAGAAAACACACACACACAGAAACACACACAGAAACACACACACACAGCAACACACACAGAAACACACACAGAAACACACACAAACACACACAGCAACACACTCACACAGAAACACACACACAGAGCCACACACACAGAAACACACACACACAGAAACACACACAGAAACACACACACACACAGAAACACACACACACAGAAACACACACAGAAACACACACACACAGAAACACACACAGAAACACACACAGAAACACACACAAACACACACAGCAACACACTCACACAGAAACACACACACAGAGCCACACACACAGAAACACACACACAGAACACACACAGAAACACACACACACAGAAACACACACACACACAGAAACACACACACACAGAAACACACACACACAGAAACACACGCACACACAGAAACACACACACACAGAAACACACACAGAAACACACACAGAAACACACACACACAGAAACACACACAGAAACACACACAGAAACACACACACACAGAAACACACGCACACACAGAAACACACACAGAAACACACACACACAGAAACACACACAGAAACACACACAGAAACACACACACACAGAAACACACGCACACACAGAAACACACACAGAAACACACACACACAGAAACACACACAGAAACACACACAGAAACACACACACACAGAAACACACACACACACAGAAACACACACACACAGAAACACACACAGAGCCACATACACACACACCGTTGAGCCCCAGCTGACTCTGGCCCCGCCCCCCCCAGGAGCTGAGCCATGATTGGCTGCTGCAGAGGCGGGCTCAGCAGGATGCTCTGCGGCCTCGGCAGCTGCAGAGGAACGAGTCTCTGGCTGCCAACGGGCGGCTGCGTCTGCACGAGAAGAAGAAGAAGATTCTGAGGAACCTGCGCAGGCTGCAGGGGGTCCTGGGGGGGGGGGGGCGAGGACCACATGCTGCAGATCATCGCCAAGGTGACCGCACACACACACTATCAGAATCAGGTTTCTCACCAGGTAGGTTGACACGTACCAGGAATTTGACTTGGTGTCGTGGTGCATACATCAAAGTAAAACAAACATTAAAAACACAGTTATACCTCATTCAACGCAACTCCGGTTCACGCTCCGTGCTTGAGCTTTTCAGGTTCAGAACCGGTTCTAGCTCCGTGCTAGAGCTTTTCAGGTTCAGAACCGGTTCTAGCTCCGTGCTAGAGCTTTCCAGGTTCAGAACCGGTTCTAGCTCCGTGCTAGAGCTTTTCATGTTCAGAACCGGTTCTAGCTCCGTGCTAGAGCTTTCCAGGTTCAGAACCGGTTCTAGCTCCGTGCTAGAACTTTCCAGGTTCAGAACCGGTTCTAGCTCCGTGCTAGAGCTTTTCAGGTTCAGAACCGGTTCTAGCTCCGTGCTAGAGCTTTCCAGGTTCAGAACCGGTTCTAGCTCCGTGCTAGAGCTTTTCAGGTTCAGAACCGGTTCTAGCTCCGTGCTAGAGCTTTTCATGTTCAGAACCGGTTCTAGCTCCGTGCTAGAGCTTTTCAGGTTCAGAACCGGTCCTAGCTCCGTGCTAGAGCTTTCCAGGTTCAGAACCGGTTCTAGCTCCGTGCTAGAGCTTTCCAGGTTCAGAACCGGTTCTAGCTCCGTGCTATAGCTTTCCAGGTTCAGAACCGGTTCTAGCTCCGTGCTAGAGCTTTTCAGGTTCAGAACCGGTTCTAGCTCCGTGCTAGAGCTTTCCAGGTTCAGAACCGGTTCTAGCTCCGTGCTAGAGCTTTCCAGGTTCAGAACCGGTTCTAGCTCCGTGCTAGAGCTTTTTCATGTTCAGAACCAGTTCTTCGGTTTAGCTCCGGCTCTTTGCACACCGCCCAGAGTCCGGCTGGTGCTGCGTCATTGCGTAACCGTTTGCGTGCCTGCTTCATGAAGCCAAACCGCGCAGAACCCCCTCACAGCTCACAACAACAACAATGGCCGATTGTGTTGAAGCGCTGCTGGTTGTGGTTTTGCTCTGTCCAAACCAAATGGAGCTGCTGGTTGTGGTTTAGCTCTGTCCAAACCAAATGGAGCTACTGGTTGTGGTTTAGCTCTGTCCAAACCAAATGGAGCTGCTGGTTGTGGTTTAGCTCTGTCCAAACCAAATGGAGCTACTGGTTGTGGTTTAGCTCTGTCCAAACCAAATGGAGCTACTGGTTGTGGTTTAGCTCTGTCCAAACCAAATGGAGCTGCTGGTTGTGGTTTAGCTCTGTCCAAACCAAATGGAGCTGCTGGTTGTGGTTTAGCTCTGTCCAAACCAAATGGAGCTGCTGGTTGTGGTTTAGCTCTGTCCAAACCAAATGGAGCTGCTGGTTGTGGTTTAGCTCTGTCCAAACCAAATGGAGCTGCTGGTTGTGGTTTAGCTCTGTCCAAACCAAATGGAGCTGCTGGTTGTGGTTTAGCTCTGTCCAAACCAAATGGAGCTACTGGTTGTGGTTTAGCTCTGTCCAAACCAAATGGAGCTGCTGGTTGTGGTTTAGCTCTGTCCAAACCAAATGGAGCTACTGGTTGTGGTTTAGCTCTGTCCAAACCAAATGGAGCTACTGGTTGTGGTTTAGCTCTGTCCAAACCAAATGGAGCTGCTGGTTGTGGTTAGCTCTGTCCAAACCAAATGGAGCTACTGGTTGTGGTTTAGCTCTGTCCAAACCAAATGGAGCTGCTGGTTGTGGTTTAGCTCTGTCCAAACCAAATGGAGCTACTGGTTGTGGTTTAGCTCTGTCCAAACCAAATGGAGCTGCTGGTTGTGGTTTAGCTCTGTCCAAACCAAATGGAGCTGCTGGTTGTGGTTTAGCTCTGTCCAAACCAAATGGAGCTGCTGGTTGTGGTTTAGCTCTGTCCAAACCAAATGGAGCTGCTGGTTGTGGTTTAGCTCTGTCCAAACCAAATGGAGCTACTGGTTGTGGTTTAGCTCTGTCCAAACCAAATGGAGCTGCTGGTTGTGGTTTAGCTCTGTCCAAACCAAATGGAGCTGCTCGTTGTGGTTTTGCTCTGTCCAAACCAAATGGAAGAAATGGGACGACTTTACTGCCGTTACACGCTACATTCAAAACTGCTTTACAATCGTAATCATCAACTTCAACGACGATTCCGATTCCCCCTGCAGTCTCTACATTGAGCACATTAGGACAGTAAGAAAAGTACTTGTTACTGCAAGAGCAGCTGGTGGTGAGGACTTCAGACAACTTCAATTTAAAGCATGCTATAGAGACAAGTGCCCTCAGTTTGAGGCGTGATTGAAGGTCATTCCAAGACCAAGGACCATAATAAGAAAGACTCCTTTTTCCAGCCTCAGTCCGTACAGCAGGAACCTGGAACCGTATCCAGGAACCTGGACCCGTATCCAGGACCTGGATCTGAGGTTGTGAGAGTCACAAACTGGGGCAAATCTGACACATATGTAGAGTGGAAGCTTACCTAAAATGGCTTTATACATTAATAAAAACCAGTGCTGCATCCTACGCATAGTAAGTGAGGACCATCCAGTTAGGCTATACAGTGTGCAATGATGAGTCCTATAGGGTGCATTTGATATATAACGCAGTGCAGCATGGTAGAGTGGGTCAAGTTTGGCCAAAACAGTGGGACAGGCAAATCTATAGATGGTATCACCGTAGTCCAGCTGGGACAGGAATAAGCCAGAGACCAACCTTTTACGGGATGAAATTGAAAAACAACATTTAAGTCTATAAAGGAAGCCAAGAGTGAATTTCAATTTCTTTGTTAAAACTTCAATATGGTGTTTAAAGTTCAGATTACTGTCCAACCAAAAGCCCAGATATTTGTAGGTATCAACAAACTCAACAGAAACGCCATCAAGGGTGTCAATGGAGAGGCAAGAGGAGGACGCTGACTTGGGAGCAAAAAGCATTGCTTTGGTTTTCTTACTGTTCAATAGCAGTTTGGAATCAAGAAGTGCATGCTGCAGCGTGATAACATCTGATTTTAAATTGGAAACGGCCATCTGCAGTGTGACTAAGCATGAAATTCCTAACTCAGGGTAGCCGCCTATGGTTTGCACGCTACCTCGGCTCCTGCTGAGGTGTGGTGTCACAGCGCTGTATTTATGCTGATGTGCCATCTCCCAACGCCCCCGTGGAAAATGACCAAGAACTCAGAAAATACAGAATAACCTCGGAATGTTAGGCCTCATTCAGAAATGTACGAATGTTCAAACACAGGCAGTGAGTGGGTTGTAAGGAGCAGAAGATTGGGTCAGTGTTGGCAGAGCGTCTCCCCATCCCATTCAAATTCAAATTCTTGACTGAAAGAGCCTACAGTACATGTAAATGGATAGCATTGCCTATGCGCATTTGAAAATAATTAGTACCCCCCTCTGAGTGACTACGTGTTGAGTTCACATCACCATTCTCCCATATGCTACAAATGGCTGTCGAGCCCTGTTTGTTTTTTTGACCTTTCAGATGTTGTTGTATAGCCTCTGGAGCAGAAATGAAAGAGTTTTAAAATGTTTACGTTTTGGTAAGTTTTTAGGGAAATGTTGTAATATTGCAACGTTGGCCTTAGGTGGGAGCAGAATTTCTGTATTTCTACTCACATTGTCTGAATAAATATATTGAACAACTAAGAGTTAATTTGCAGGATTGATTGCTTCCTTAGCCCTATATGAGTATATAGCATGAATAATAATCACACATCACTCATATTTGTTATGAATAATCATTTATTAAATAGTAAGTCGCTTTGGATAAAAGCGTCAGCTAAATGCAATTTATGAAAGCCTCACTCAGGATTTTTTTACCAAGTGTTTTTATTGCTCTTGGGGCATTAAAAACAAGATTTTAACTTGAGTTTTTTATATAATATCTGCATTTTCTCTTTTGAAAAACTAAGTCTTAGTTTGGCCATAGTTTGGACACTCATTTTTAATCACACACGTCTCCCCATCCCATTCAAATTCTTGACTGAGCCTATATGCATTTGAAAATAAATAGTAGCTACAGTAACCCCCTCTGAGTGAATACCTGTTGACTTCACATCTTGTACACATTTAATTAGGAGCAAAAACACACACTTCAAGTCAGATCATCACCCTTAGCTATTTTAATTACCTCTCAAACAACCTAAACTAGTTATAAATGTTTATTTTTACTGTCGGCCGGGTCAGCTGCTGCATGAGACAGACACTGAAAAGTATTATCATCTCAAATTAATCATTATGTTATTAGTATTAAATATATATAAGTATTTTTACAGCTTGTATTTTTTTAACAAGTGTTTTTATTGCTCTTGGGGCATTAAAAACAAGATTTTAACTTTAGTTTTTTATATAATATCTGCATTTTCTCTTGTGAAAAACTAAGTCTTAGTTTGGCCATAGTTATTTAATATATAAAGACTATATATTATTGAATTACAAGATTAGATATACTTTATTTGATCTAAAATATTGATGTGTTCAAATGCTCTTCTAAACAAAACTGAAAGTCCATGAAAGTTCTCTTCCTGTTTTTGTGAATGAAGCGCCATCTCCTGGTTAAATCCTGAAATTGAAAATCTGGCAACGCCCTCTTGGAAAATAGTGGAAGGGCTTAACATTCCCAGATACTGGTCTTTGGCAGGTCTTAGGCAGGTAGCTGGCAGGTAGTAGGCAGGAAGCAGTAAGCTGGAGTCTGAAATAAGCTGCTCCATCTGTAATGTTAAAAGAAAATATAGCTTTGGAATAAAATATGTGCAGTAATAAAAAAGACAGATATTGCATCAATAGACAAAAGTATTGGAACACTCCACTCGGGGTAATGCTAGGGTGGTTCTTCTGGGGTCGGCCTCGGCCCCTTAGCTCCGGTGAAGAGGATTCTTAAAGCTTCACCAAGTCATGTTGGAAAGTTCTCTGCTTCTAACTCTGTGGAGACAGTTTGGGGAAGAAGAACCTTTCTGTTCCAGCAGAGCCTCACAAAGCAGGTCCATGAAGGCCTGGTGGAGGAGTCTGGTGAAGGAGTCTGGTGAAGAACCTGACCTGAACCCACTGAACTCCTTTGGGATGAACTAGAGCCTCTCGTCCAGCATCAGGGTCTGACCTGAACCCATTGAACTCCTTTGGGATGAACTAGAGCCTCTCGTCCAGCATCAGGGTCTGACCTCAACCCACTGAACTCCTTTGGGATGAACTAGAGCCTCTCGTCCAGCATCCGGGTCTGACCTCAACCCACTAAACTCCTTTGGGATGAACTAGAGCCTCTCGTCCAGCATCAGGGTCTGACCTCAACCCACTAAACTCCTTTGGGATGAACTAGAGCCTCTCGTCCAGCATCAGGGTCTGACCTGAACCCATTGAACTCCTTTGGGATGAACTAGAGCCTCTCGTCCAGCATCAGGGTCTGACCTGAACCCAACACATCTTCAACAAACTCCCCCTTTGCCTCATCATCAAAACTCACAAACACCAGCAACTGAGCATTGTCAGTGGTGTCAGTGGACTCATCCACAGCTAAGGAAATGCACTGTGCATTTTGTCTGACCTCAACCCACTGAACTCCTTTGGGATGAACTAGAGCCTCTCGTCCAGCATCAGGGTCTGACCTGAACCCACTGAACTCCTTTGGGATGAACTAGAGCCTCTCGTCCAGCATCAGGGTCTGACCTCAACCCACTGAACTCCTTTGGGATGAACTAGAGCCTCTCGTCCAGCATCAGGGTCTGACCTCAACCCACTGAACTCCTTTGGGATGAACTAGAGCCTCTCGTCCAGCATCAGGGTCTGACCTCAACCCACTGAACTCCTTTGGGATGAACTAGAGCCTCTCGTCCAGCATCAGGGTCTGACCTCAACCCACTGAACTC